CCAGTGATGCAACTGGGAGCCACATGGCGCCAGAGCAGGACAGGGGCAGGAAGAGTGTGACATGGCTGGTGGTGGGCAGGGCTGGGCTACTCAGTTCTGCTGAGGGCTCCCCCTGGGTCCTACTGCCCCTGGCTCCTATCAGCTTTGATATGCAGTCAGGAGCAAATAAATATTAATTTACTCATTTTTTTTTAGGGGCCCCTTGGGCTGGACAGAATGGCTTGGCAGGCCAGATGCAGCCCATGGGTCATATTTTGCCCACCCCTACTGTAGAAGAACTGCTTCCTGCCTGCATTGGGTAAAGATCTCTGTGCAAGGACTATGTGGAGCAGCTTATTTTATTTTGGGAAAGAGTCTTTTTCTGTCATTTAGTTTTATAACTTAATAGTTATTAAAATAAGCCTTTCTGCTATTCATCAACTGAGTCAATTCATAAAGGACTAGGTTAACAATTTGGTTTATAAGTGCAACAGAAGTTATGGAGAGAAAGGGAAGGTTTTTTAGTCACCCCGCTCCCTGAGAAGGAGGAATTTGGTTGTGACAGAGAAAGGAATGTGGGGACCACATGATTAGAAGACAGAGTAACCCTAAGGGACCAGCTGTCAGAGGGGCAGTTAGAGCAATTGAGATGAACTGTTAGAGATTTTAAAGATGTCTTTAATGGGGCACCAGGAAGTGCTTGTGGAGTGATGGACAAGATTTTGACTCCTGAAGGGAAGATAGTTTGGGAAAGGTGGCAAAGGATCCCATATCAGAAGTACCAGCCAATTAAAGAAGAATTGGATAGGATGTTGAAACAGGGGGTCATCACAGCATCTCATAGTCCATAGTGAAGCCACCTAGTGGTAGTCCCTAAGTCTGATGGACAATCCATTTATGCATAGACTTTAGTAAGCTCTACCTCATCACATGATTCAATGCTTTTCCCATGCCCTAGGTAGGGGATCTCTTATAGTGAATATGACAAGCTAGGTTTATTTCAACCTTCGACTTGGCCAAAGCTTACTGGCAAATTCCATTGTGGGCAGAAGATCAGGAAAAGATGGCATTTGGAACTCCTTGGGGTTTATATGAGTTGAAGAGAATACTCTTTGGGTTGAATGGAGTGGCAGCCATCTTCCAATGACTAATGAATTGGACACGGGCTCCACATCAATGCTGTGACTAATATTGATGATATAGTGGTCTATACTGAAAGGTGGGACCAACATGTACAGGCAGTGAAAGCAGTATTGCAGGAACTCTGCCTAGCTGGCTTAACAGCCAACCCTAAGAAATGTGTCCTGGGCTAAGCTTATATGCAATATCTAGGATTTTTAGACAGGCAAGGCTTTATAAAACCACTTGCAGATATAGTAGAAGCCATAAAAATTACTCTCCCCTGTAAAGTAAGAAACAAATAAGAGCATTCCTTGGATTAGGTAGTTATTATTGTAGATTTATCCCACATTTTGCAGAGATCACAGACCTCCTAAATGATACCATCTGGGGAAGAGGAAATGGCCCCATAACATGGGATGCAAAGTGTGAAGAAGCATTTGAAGCAGTCAAGGTGGCACTGTGCCAGGATGTGGTACTGCACACATGATTTTTCATTTTGTAGACAGATGCATCAGGGGAGGCTGTTGGGGCAGTGGAGGGGCCAGTGGCTTATGCAAGTAGGAAGTTGAACAACCATGAAAAATGTATGTAACTATTGAAGGAGAGTTTTTGGCCATTAAGTGGAGCATCAACTAGTTCAGATGCTACCTGATAGGTAGAGAATTTAAGTTAATTACAAACCATGCTCCATTGAAGTGACTCTAATCTGCTAAAACTAACAATGCTCAAATTATGAGGTGGGCTTTGACCTTGCAGCCATTCCAATTTTCTGTTGAATACAGACCAGGTAAGACAAACATAGTAGTGAATTTCCTGTCTTCCTGCCATCAGGAGGAAGATGCAGAGGTCAATCAGGTAACATTGGGAAATTCTGCATAAAGGGTAACTGTTAAACAGTGCCTAAGGGTGTCTTGAGGGGTAGGATGTATCAGGGGAAGGATTTTAAAGCAGGAAAGACCCCTGAAAATAGAGGTGATTCCCTCGTACTTACCACAGGAGAGCAGAGGATCGTTGCAGGCATGTGTGGCAATATGCCGCATTTCCAGAGTGAGTGCTCACTCTGGACTGGTGGGAGTTGAGCCACACAGGGTACTTCTAGCTCTGGAGAGAGGCATCCAGGGGGAGACTCCAGTGTCAAGAGACTGTAGACACAAGGAGATTTCCCTTTTGATGCCAGTCTATGAAGAGCTGTGCAGCACTGAAGCATCAGGAAGACATTACAGAAAGTCCAAGGACCACTGCTAGATGAAGTGCCACTGCAGGAACCTGGATTGACAACAGCCAACTGGTCAGGAACCTTCACCAAGAAGTAGGTAGGGGAAGGGGAGAGGGAAGATCCAGTGAGCTTTGCCCTCCTGAAGGGCAGGACTGCTTGCTGGAGCCCCCAAGGGACGGCGTCTGGTTTCTTTTCCTCCATTTTGTTTTCTTTTGCTACTTTATTGTCTTACCTCAGCTGAGGGTGGGTTTTTTTGGTTGTGTTGGACTTGAACTTGTTGGTCTACCCCTAGATGGGGGGTAGGGGGAAGAGGGATTTGAGGACTGTGGGCTTGTTCCATCCAATCTTGGTGAAGCAGGGGAGAAAACAGCCCTACTCAGGAAGAGTTAGCCCTGAAAGGTTTTTCTTTTTCTCTCTCCGGAATTGTCAAGAAAGGGTGTGTTGAGGTTGGGGTATAGGGGAGGAGGAGCCCCATAATACAGTCCCACCTGGCAGTTTGAGATGATTCCCCTGAGGAACTAACTCCCGATATCAAAACATAGGAAACATCAAAATTGTGGTGGGCAAGAAAGCATCATAAGGGAAGGGCTGAAGGAGGTCATTGTAACACCTCCTTAGCCCACTTACATTCAGGGAAGATGTTTACCCTAGCCATAGCAATTAATGCTGCCACTGCTTCCTCACCACCAAATTTCTGGACCTGTTGGGGCCCTGCAGGCCATCTGACACATCTCTGTTGGCCAAATCTGACCAACAGGCTGTTGGTTGAGCATCACCTTTGCCCCCATGGATGAAGGTTTAGGGTGTAGCAAGTGGGAGATGTGGGTTCTAGACCTTTTCTACCAACCGGGGGTTTCAACCTGTACCTCTGACTTTCCAGTGAGGTGTTTGAACCAGCATGCCACAGCTCAGGAGGCATTTATGAAAGGAGGGGAGGATAGTAGAATAGGCTCTGCCCCATTGTGATCAAGACTTCAAGCTACAACTCAGAAGCAGCATCTATCTCACTGAAGCCTGCAGCCCCTGGCTTGTTCTCTTCTTTTGACTCCAAATACCTTTCTGGTTTAGCTGACCAAGGCCTAATACAATGTTTTAAGCACAATGCCACAGGTCCCCTCTTGAGCAGTCCTTTAAAGTTGTCCTCCTCAGCATCCATGAAGGGATGTGGAGCCAGGAAAAAGAAATCAAGTAAGAGAGGTGTGGCTCAGTAAGACAGATGCTGTCCTATAGCCTTGTTTTTGGTTGGGCAGAACTTTGCCTATTAAACTGCTAGCCATCCAAATGCAAGGGGCAATGGCTCAGTTTCAAAAGGAGCACTGGAGTATGGTCTGCATAATGCCTAACCTAGGATGTGCTAGGTAGAGCACAGGTTCAACCCCCTCTGTGAGAGGAGGGGTCTACAACCTGCATCTCCCGGTTTTTCCATGAGGGTCCCAATCATTCAACTACTGGGGCTAAAACAAGAAGGTCACACTCCAGACCCTAATATCTGCTAGTCATAGATTTCCAACTGCCAACATGCCTTAGATGCTGCTATGTAGCCACAATGGAGGCACATGCATGTCCAGCCAGTGCATAGAGTACTGAACATATTCAGTCTACATACACTCATTTACACATTTATGCTGCTGGAGAAGTAAAATGCTACCTATGCACAGGGGCCATTTTTGCCCCTTAATGTGACTAAAAAGTTACCATTTAGATGTACAAAGGGAAAAAGAATTCCACCTATGAAACTGTACTTGAGATATTCTGGGCTTTTTGCTAGGTGGCATTTGGGTTTGAGTTCTAGTTTCTTGAAAATATAAATATTGTCACAAAATACCAGTTCTAGCTTGTTGTTTCATCCTTATATCTCCCAGTTTCTAAAAGCAGTATTGCTTTACACATCCCTGATCTAATGGCCAATGGCACAATAGAGTCTCAGTCTATTGTTAGAATCTCTTACCCTGTCAGCTTTGAACCACTGAGGAAAATGTTCCTGGACTTTGAAAGGCTCACAGGTTTAGTGAATGGGGGGCCCTTTCCATAAAGGAGCTTTATTGTCAAAGTTTTCTATATAAGGTGCTATTGAGGCCAACATTAGTTTCCAGACCTTTAACACTGGTTTCATTGAGCACAAATCTGCTGTTCTCACAGGGTTGTGGTTTATTGCATTTGACACTTCCAGTGTCTGGTCTCCCAGGGGTGGTGATTGATCCTTATCTTCACATTTTCTGGGCAGAAAGATTGAGGCTAAGGCAAGTCTGGTGTTATTTCATTCTTTCTCTTCTGAAGGAAAGTTTTCTGTTTGATTTCTCAATACCCTTGTTTGATTTTTTTACAGCCCCCTTCTCTCCCCCCACTACACTTTATACATCTCAAATTTAGCATGTCTGGCTAGAACAACAGTTTTAGTGCAGTTAACCAGGCATATCTGTACTTGTGGGGAGGGAGGGTTGAGCAGGGCACCCCAGCCCCATGTGCTGCATCAGAGGGTATTTAAGAATGATAGCCCCACAGGGAGCTTGTGCTGCCACCACCACAGCAACAGCCCATGTTCAGGGAGCTTGCACTGAGATAGTCTGTGCTGCCACCACAACTACAGCAGCCCCTGTGTGAAGTCGTAAGTGCTTGCTTCCTCCTGTGCTACACCACCCAGGAAGCCAACATTTCAAGCTATGCCTTTGTGTCTGTTGTACAGGAAATTATCAAGGTGACAGCATGCAGAAGTAGTGGGAAGAGGATCTTCTTACCTACCTTTTGGAATTGAAAAGGCAGAAAACTCCAACAATTTTAAGCCTAACAGTGCAGTGGGTTTCCATGCAGACAAGATAAAACCACAAGTAAGGAAATGAACTAATTTTAGTAAACTAATAAGAAATGAATAAATTTAATGTGAAAAAGCAGTATCAAAATGATACATCAAAGAAAAACTCACTAAGGCAAAGAGATTTGTAGTTATTTCAACAATATTTTAACCATATCATAAATTCATAGACACCAACCACATTTATTCCAACCAGGCTCAATTATTTGTAGAGCCTGGTTGGAATATGGATATGTTCTATATGTTATATGTCAGAACTATTCATAGTCCTCTTGCTATGAATGTAATTGTCTATAACTGTTTTTTTATTGTCTTGATTCCCGCATCCTCACTTTGTCTTCATATTCAGCTTAATATTTGTATTGTGATGTGTCCTAGTTAGAAAACAAGTGGCATAAACACAGAAGAGTTTAAAGAATCATGTGCTTAAGTAATCGAATGGAGACTGAAACTCATGGTCTGACAGCTGGCAGATTTTCTGTCTAGAAGTTGCTTGCAAGGTGTAATGCAAGCGAAACTGGAAGTGCTGGTGGCATGCAGCAAAAGCACCAGCGAAGATGAAAGCAGTGGCACAAGTGGCACAAAGTTCTGGCAGCCCTGCCCCCCATACTGCTGCTGCGTACCCCTTAGGGCCTTCCCAAGTACCCCCAGGGGTACACGTACTCCTGGTTGACAACCCCTAGTGTAATGGAAGTCTATCCCCAAACATACAAACATGGTATATACAGTTTGAGGCTCTAGGTATCTTCAGTTTTCTTAACATTACGATCTCATTATATAGTCAAAATTATTAGCTTCTGAGCTAGAACAATCAAATGCACAAATGGGGTTTAATTGGCTAGGCTGCAGTACTACAGAAAAGGAGCTGGAGGTTATAGTAAACAGCAAACTAAATATGAGCCAACAGTGTGCTAGAAGTTCCTTCCAACCCTCTTTTTTGATGTTATAATGTTACAAACATCTCAAAATTGTGTGCTTTTTTATACATACAGAGCAGTAAAATCTATTGGAACAATGGCATGGATCCAAGTCAGCTTAGTATTTTATTTTTATGTTAATGGATAGGGACAGACATTCAAAAAGCCTGAGCCTGAATTGATTCAATCTTTGCAGATTAATCTTATCTGGCTAGGCTGAACTGGTTTGAAACTGGACAGACATTCTCTATGGGCTGAGGAAATTCAGGCACATGCCTGCAGTGGCTCAGGCTAGAAGCTGGTGGGCACTATAGCAGCCCTCCTTTCTGCAGGGACCTGAGCTGAGGGGGACATGGCCAGGCCCCAGGAGGACTCTCTTATTAGGGAGGTCTGCCTGTACCATTCCAGGCTTTTCCCCGCTGGTTGCTCAAGGGGTGGGAGTGTTGCCAGTCTCCAGCCTGAGGCTAGCACTCTGAGGCAAGGCATGCATCTGTTGATGATATGGAGCTTTTCAATCTCCCTCCCTGCTTTGTCATACTGTCTGCACCAAGCTGACAGGCAAGCAAGCCAGCTGAGGGCTGATAGTGATAACCAGGGATCCGGATTTTCTGTTTCCCATGGAAAACAGAGAAAACCACAGATCTCTCTATTTTATCAGAGAAAAAATAGATTTTACTTTTTAGCAGAGAAACGTGCAGATTTCCCACTTTTGGCAGAGTTCCAGCATGCAAGAGCTAATTGCAAAAAGGGTGGGAAACCCTGCAGCCCAGTCCAGAGCAGGAGGGAGAAGGGGAAAGGGCAGGGCCTGAGGCTCTTAATCACCCAAGACTTGGCTCCGACTCACTTTCCTTCCTGAAGCCTGTGAGGTAAGTGGGGCTTGCAGAGGCCTGGGGGGTTATGGGTCAAGGGTGATGGGTACCACAGGGCTGGGGGGAAGCTGGCCGGTGGGGAAGCTGGCTGCAGAAAGCTGGCTGGGGGATGAGGGAGTAGGGAGATGTTAGG